ATGTTTTTTCCACCAATTACTACAATTTTTCTGGGATTTGATATATAACAGACCAAGATAGCGGAAAGAGTTTCCTGATCATGTATCTTAAATTTAGCCCTAATAAAATACATGTGGAACAGTAGCAGAGGGTTCCTCTTGGCAGAAAGCAAAGTCTGAAGGATGTTGAGAAGAGAGCAGACTCCGATGAGGACTTCTTTCCCACTCTGCACTGAATAGCACAAGCCCCTAAGAGTAGAACTAGACAGAACTGGTGACTGACAAAAGCAGCAATGTGAGGACAAGACAAGGCAGAGGAGAAAAAGTCAAGTTGTTTGATGCACTGAGGAGTTGTGGGGGAAGGTAGATAAGACAGAGAGGGTTCTAGAGTGGAATTTTCTCCATTGACTGAAGAGTGCAGTCAAATGTGGCAGCATCAGTGTAGAGAATGGAAGCCACACCTTCTACTGGAGGAATTTAATCCAATATGGTCAATAGAAGAAAGAAGCACCTCCCTTAACTGAGCCAGTTGAGGAGTCTATGTTGTTGTTGTTGTTTGCCGTTGAGTTGGACCCGACTCATAGCAACCCCTCCTTGGGTTTCTGAGGTGGTATCACTACGGAAGTAGTTTGCCCAACCTTCCTTCTGATGAGTGGCTGGTGGCTTTGAACCACCAGCCTTCTGGTTAGCAGTCAAGTGCCTTAGGCATTGTGCTACCAGAGCTCCTGAGTAGTCTATAGGAGTTGGAATATAGAAGACAAACATAAAGTAAAGAACTCTAACTACTAAATTGTAAGAGTAAAACTGTAATGTCTTTCTTGTTAGCAGGTAATTATTGTCACTTCATGTTCTGGTTACCTAGTGCTGCTCTGACAAGAATATACCACAAATGGGATGGCTTGAACAAACAGGAGTTTATTCTCTTACAGTTCAGGAGGCTAGAAGTCTGAGTTCAAAGTGCTAGGCTCTAGGGGCTGGGTGAAAGCCCCTTAACCTTGGGCTTCAGCTCTGCCTCTTGCTCCCGGCCCACTGAAGCTAGAGGCATCTCTTCACTCAGACAGCTACTGGCTGCTGAGGCTAACAAGCCCAAGGTCGACAAATAAAATGGCACAGTTCCAATGTTACCAAACCACACAGCAGACAATTAATTCAAGTCCATTGAAAGTCCTAAGGTCGACAGAGCATGGCAGGCTGCTGAACAATGACCCGGCTACATGCAGGGTTCAAGTGTGCCATACGCTGGAGACCATTCCCAAAGCTGCTGCTTGTATATGGGAAGCAGACCACATACCCAAAGCAGCTACTCAGTTGCTTGTGGTAGATCCCACCATGGAGATGATTGTCAGTCTCATCATGGGGAATAACTACTATCAGCAGCCCAACCACTCAGCCAGGCCCAGCCAAGTTGACATACAACTTTAACTACTACACTTTATTAAATTAAATGAGTTCACAATTATCATAAAATGACCAGGCTCACTGGTCTGATGATGACTGGAGGAACTCCCAATGCTATCGTCCTTAGATACCCTTCAAGCTAGGAACTGAACCTAACCCCCATGACTCAACGGGGACCCAAAAGATAGACAGGCCTATAAGGTGGATAGTAATACCAGAAGGGTATATACTCATTAGAACAATCACACATATGACGTCAAGAGGACAGCATTTGCCCATCCTGGAGTGGATGGGAAGGAAGAACCAAGGGAAGGGGTGGGTATAGGAAGGAAGTGAGAAGAATGCTATTACAATGTGGGAAGTGTAGTAAATGTCACAGAAGAGAATGTGTATGGATTGTTGAATGGAAAAACAAATCACAATTAAAAAAAGCTCAAATGAGTTTATTCATGCATATCACTTTATATTACCTGTTGTTGTTGCTGTTATGCGCCTGTCAAGTTGGCCCTGACTCATAGCGACCCCTCCTTGGGTTTCCGAGGCAGTATCACTACGGAAGTAGGATTGCCCAACCTTCCTAGAACATTCTAAATGCTCAAAAAACATTGGCTATTGTATTATTATTACTGTTGTTTACACTTTAATAGGTTATAAAGCTTTTAGTAGGCACAAGGTTTTTGTCCTTTTTGTAAAGTAACTTTGATGTCACTAAACTATTGTCTCTCAGCTTCAAATTCACTTCTTTATGCTCTTCTATGATCTAGAGGTGGGACACTGGAAATCACATTTTTGCTTTGTCAGCTGGCTTCTGATAGGCTTTGCCAAGAAAAGAACTCGAGGGTGAAGGGAAGGTTGGATGAAGGTCAGGGGCCGACCCTTCCTCTTTGCTTCCTGTTCCCATCGCATCATCCCAGCCATGGCTCCTCACAATGGCAGTGGCAGCTGCTTACCTT